AAACCCTAAACCCCAAAACCCTAAACCCCAAAACCCTAAACCCCAAAACCCTAAACCCCAAAACCCTAAACCCTAAAACCCTAAACCGAAACCCCAACACCCTACACCCTTACGGCTTCGGCTTGGGGGGTTCGGCGCTTCAGGTTGACCCCAGGCCTTGAGGATGAAATAGGAGGGCTGAGGCCGTAGGGTTTAGGGTTTAGGGTTCAGGGTCTAGGGTTTAGGGCTTAGGGGGGGGTTAGGGTTTAGGGCTTAGGGTTTAGGGCCTAGGGTTTAGGGCTTAGGGTTCAGGGTTTAGAGTTTAGGGAGGGTTTAGGGTTTAGGGCTCAGGTTTCAGGAGGGTTTAGGAGGGTTTAGCGTTTAGGGCTTCTCTCCTGGACTGTTCTAGCCAAAAGCTTCTGTTGCCGAATTTGTCAGGCAAAGCCCTTCTTGACAAGACCTGACATTCGCATGAGAAACCCAAAACCCTAAGCCAGGGTTTCTAGTTTGCGAAGTTCTTGCTGTTGCAGAGAGGGCCCAAGATCTCCCATGTCTCCAGGCTCTCGGAAGAGTATGGTTTGGTGTTGGGGAGGGTTTAGGGCTTAGGGCTTGGCTTGCAAGCGAGAGCTAGATCCAATGCAAAGGTCCCACAGGCCTAGCTAGTTAAGGCAGCTTTGGTTGTGCTTGTAAGTACCCATGCATCTTCAAGTACCGGCTGCCCAGGCACGCTTGACCTCAGGCGCATCCTCCTCCTCGTCATGCTCCTTGGACTCTGGCTACGTGGCCGCAGAGGCAAGAAGCCGTAATCCCAAGGCTCCAGCCACAAGGCCTACATAAGCTTCACAGCTCAACCCTAAACCCTAAACCCTAAACCCGGGCTTCAGTTCAGTAGAAGTTGCAGCTGGGATTAGGAGGTTGGGGGCTTGTGCAAGAACCGCACTTGCGGAAGCCTACGTCTGCCGGACAAGGGAAAGCCACGACTGACAGGGTTTAGGGTTTAGGGTTTAGGGTCCAGGGTTCAGGGTTTAGGGCTTAGGGTCCAGGGTTTAGGGTTTAGGGTTTATGGTCCGAATACTCCAATGTAGAAGCCTTAATAATTACTTATACAGTTTTGGGGGTTCCTTATTATGGGTTTAGTATAATAATAATAATATACCCCAAAACCCTCTTCAAACTATTCAGGCCCCCACATTACTGGCGCTTTTGAGGGGGGTTTCTTTAGGAAAAATTTCTGAATAAGAATGGGGAGTATTATTTATTTCAGCCTTCTTCTGAGCATCTGACGTTGCGAACAATCGCACCTGTACACTGTAGCATGTGCCACCGACAGCCCTACACCCTAAACCCCTAAAGACAAGAAGCATCGAAGCCCTCAAGCCTGAAGCCCAGACGGCGTCTTCGTGCTCAGGGCTTGGTGTTCTGTGCAAACACACAAAACTAAAACCCTCTCTCCCTCTCCCCCCCTCATCAAGGCCCCCAAATCCATTCGAGCTTCTGCATCTGCCGCCACATCCATGGTTACCTGGGTTTAGGGTTGTTTTTTTATTAAAGTGTGATGACTTGTGTTTAGGGTTTAGGGTTTAGGGTTTAGGGTTTAGGGTTTAGGGTTTAGGGGTTTAGGGGTTTAGGGAAACCCGACGGGCCCCTTTCGGACCCTTCGGAGTATGGCAGAAGGGCTCCCTCAAGCCCTAAACCCAAACCTTATGGAACCCTATAACCTTATGGAACCCTTATAGAACCCTTACTGAACCCTTATAGAACCCTTTTAAGGCCTGGATCCCCTTTTTCCATAACCCCAAAAACCGAAGTGGGACCTAAACCCTAAACCCTAAACCCTAAACCCTAAACCCTGAACCCCCGGGGCTTCGGGATGCAAGCTTTCGGGCCCTGGGGCTGAGCTTCAGCCGAGCATAAGACCGTTAGACACACCCGGTAGACGGTTCAGAGTTGAGGGTTTGGGGTTTAGGGTTTAGGGTTTAGGGTTTAGGGTTTAGGGTTTAGGGTTTAGGGTTTAGGGTTTACAATACTCATAGCAATGGCACCGACGATTGCACTAGGAGCAAAGAACGAGAGGTCCATGCATGGAAAACAAGGTTGGCATGTTGCAGTCGCTATAACAACAAGTATATGCGATCCTGACCAAACCCACAAGGCAAAACCCTAAACGCTAAACCTTGAATTCTTAAATTTTAATTTTAAATTCCGGATTTTACACTCTGACCCCTGAACCTTAAGCCCAAACCCTAAACCCTAAACCCTAAACCCCAAACCCTAAACCCTAAACGGGCAGGCGCGAGGCCTGAAGCTTCAGCTCACGCTCTTCCAACTCCTGCTCCCGGCGCTTGAAGTCCTGGCGGAAGGCATCCGCACAAGCGGGGTTAAGGGTTCAGGGTAATTTAGGGTTTAGGGTTTAGGGAGTTTAGGGTTTAGGGTTTAGGGTTCAGTGTAATTTAGGGCTTAGGGTGTAGAGTTTGGGTCAGTGTTGGGTTTAGGGTTTTGGGTTTAGGGCCGTGCAGGCATTGGCTTGTCAGGCTTCGGGCATTCAGAGCTTGAGGTTTAGAGTTCAGGGGTTTAGGGCAAGGGTTGAAGGTTTACGTAGGGCTGCTGCCGAGTCAGAACCTTGGGTTCTTGGCCCTAAACCCTAAACCCTGATCTCTAAACCCTAAACCCTTAAGGCAACAGGTTCCCGAGTTTCGAGGGTTTCGAAAGTAGTGGGATGTGCCTTCCATCATATGAAGGACGCCGCGATGAACCCTACCGAAACCCTACACCCTCAACCCTAAACCCTCAAGGCCCTAAACCTCAAACCCTCAACCCGACACCCTCAACCCTAGGCCTGAACCTAACCCGAAACCCAAAGGCCCCTGAATGTCGGGGTCTCTGGCAACCCACGGCTTAAGACGAAGAGTGGCATGGGTCTAGGGCTTAGGGTTTATATGGTTTAGGGCTTAGAGTTTAGAGTTTAGGGTTTAGGGTTGAGGGTGTGGGGGTTTAGGGTTTAGGGTTGGGGTTTAAGGTTTGGGGTTTAGGGTTTACAGTGTTTAAGGTTGAAGGTTTACACGAAAGCGCGACACCTTGAGCCCTAAACCCTAAACCCTAAACCCCTAATCCGTAAACCTTAATTAAACCGTAACCCCCAAATCCTAAACCCTTAAACCCCCAAACCCTAATCCCTAAACCCTAAGCCTGAGCGCTCAAGGGCCGAATGCGGCGCCTTCTCCGTCCTCTCGACCTCCAGCTCGCGCTCCCGGAGCTTTTCTTCCTTGTCCTGGTTTGAGGCTTTGGGGACCCTAAACCCGAAACCCGAAACCCTACTCCCCAGCCCCTATTACAGGAAACTACAGGTGGGGAGTTTAGGGTATACAGGGCTTCTATAAGGCTTCTATAAGGTATATAGACCTTCTATACGGCTCCTATAACTACGGTAACTACCCATCTGAAAATGTCCTAGACCCTAATCCCTAAACTCTAAACCCGAAACCCTACTACTCCCTAAACCCTAAACTGCCCTAAACCCTAAACTCTAAACCCGAAACCCCACTCCCTAAACCCTAAACTGCCCTAA